AGGACCCCGAAATCAGGATTTGGAACAGGAACGCTGGCTGAGTCCTTCCACCACGGAGCAGCGTGAGCGGATGAGCATCGATCTGTGGAGAGTGGCGTCCAGCAGAAACTCTTCTGGAGATCAAATTTCAGCCTGAGACAAAAATTTGGTGGAGATCCCAGGGATGCCAACAATGTGGGTGGGGCTATTTTCACTCTCCACGTTCATGGGAAGCTCCTTGACAAAGCTACTGACTTGGTCATTGACGGTTTATGCATCGCAGTCCCTTCCCGTCTGCGTTTGGGACCCAGCAAGGCTCACCCTGATAATCCAGGGGTTTTAGGAGAGTCCCGTTTTCTTTCTTTCCTTCCTATAATCAGACATTTACCTCTTTTTTCCCCCCTTCTGTTTATCAGCTGAAAGAGAGAAGTGACACAATCAGAATGAAAACTGGCGATTCATTTCACACACACACACCAAGTTTCATTTCCTTATTCTGTCTTAAAGCTTTCTAAAGTCTCGGACGAGGAGAGTAAATAAGGTCATCAGCCAAGCGAGCAATTCAAAACATAAAATCATACGGCTGGAAGGGACCTTTAGAGGTCCTCCAACCCCCTGCTCAAGGCAGGAAACCTTTATACCATCCTGGTCAAACTGTGGTCCGGTCTATTTTTTTTAAAACCTCCAGTGATGGAGCACCCACAATTCTAGGAGGCATCGTTTTTGTTGGGTTTTTTGAGTGGATAAAGCTGTTTTGCTTTGTGTCAACCGTCCCAACTTGGTTAGTTAGAAAAGAAAGACTCTCGAATCCGTTGCTGATGAAAATACACTTTACTAAAGCCAAGTGCTTACAGAAGGAGCAAAGCCGGATCTGTGATTTTTGCGCCCAAAGCGTGTGGTTAATTTTTCCCTCGTTCCCATCTTCCCCACTGGTTAACTTTGAGTATCCAATTAAATTCTAACAAATTTAACAACAAACAACCTAGAACTAAGGAGAAACTTCCTGACAGTGAGAACAATTAACCAGTGGAACTACCTGCCTCCAGAAGCAGTGAATGCTCCAACACTGGAAGTTTTTAAGAAGAGACTGGACAGCCATTTGTCCGAAATGGTATAGGGATTCCTGCCTGAGCAGGGGGTTGGACTAGATGACCTCCAAGGTCCCTTCCAACTTTATTATTATTATTATTATTATTATTATTATCATTATCATTATCATTATCATTATCATTATCATTATTATCATCATCATCATCATCATCATCATCATCATCATCGCACAGTCAGCCAGATGTTCAGATTGGATTTGGCATTTTGTCTACCTATCGAGTCCTTCCCAAGGACCTGGGATAGGCAGATGTGGATGTCTGATGGTGTTACAGATCTCGTCGCAGGATGGAAGCAGTTCCTAGTAAGGCCGACTTTTGCAATTGACTAATGGCGAATTTGTCAATGCCAATGGTGTTCAAGTGGTGCTCCAGTTGTTTTGGGATTGCACCCAAGCCGCCTATGACTATTGGTACTACCCTTGCTTGCCTTTGCCACAGTCTTTCTATTTCTATTTGTAGGTCTTTGTATTTTGTGATCTTCTCCAGTTCTTTCTCGTCTATTCTGCTGTCTCCAGGCACTGCCACGTCCACTATCCAGACTTTTTTGTCTTTCTTATCGACAATTGTTAAGTCCGGGGTGTTATGTTGCAGGTGCTTGTCTGTTTGAATTATTATTATTATTATTATTATTACTATTATTATTACAATTATTATTACTATTATTATTACTATTATTATTATTCTGCATTCAGTGTCACCTTGGGGCAGCCGGCGGCTCTCACCGGATGGCACAATGCGTACTTTCAATTCCTCTCAGGCTAACAAACACACACACCCTTATTCCACTCCACAGTCCTTCTCCCCTTTGAGTATGGCAGGCTGGCAGCAAGCGAAGCATGGCGTATCAAGATGCAGTCCTGACACTTTGATTTTAGACAAGAGAGGAAGAACTGTTGCCGAGATGAGTGGCTTCTTTGAAAAGCTCGCCCGATTTTATGCAAACAGCCTCCTTCTTACGTTGCTAACGTAAATTTCAAATTTTCCATCCAGTTAACCAGGGACTGCCTTGGAACAAAGTCATCATCTGCACCAGGAACTCCAAAATAAACTTTCTATCTCAGAAGAATTGGGGGCATGAACATTTATCTCATTTTATTGTCTCTCCCTGAAGTTGCCTCCGTCCGTCTAGATGCCCATCCCTGAAAACTGGTGTCCCCTGTTTACGGTCCACATCAAAGCAAAATCTTCTTTAGGTTGGGCTCAGTGGTGTAAGTGGGCAGCCCATGCAGCAACACTGACATGGTTTGTGGTTGTTTTATGAGGTGGTGGGTTTTTTTTTCTGTTTCCCAGTTTAATCAGTGTTTCTGGGATTTCCTGGTGGTCTCCCATACCAGGATTAACCAGGTTTATCTCACTTAAATTTCTGAGCCCAGAAAAAATCAGCACATTGCAGAGGGTTGGGTTAGATGATCCTTGAGGATCCTTTCAACTATGATTCTAGGTCAGGGTTCTTCAAATTTGGCCTTTTATGACTTGTGGCTGAGGAATTCTGGGAGTTGAAGTCCACAAGTCATAAAAGCGCCAAGTTTGAAGACCCCTGTTCTAGGTCATGGCTGGCTGGGGAATTCTGGGAGTTGAAGTCCACAAATCTTAAAGTTGCCAAGGTTGGGCACCCCAATATACACATGCAAACACACAACACACATGCACCTGGCTGCTGCCACCACACAGAGACAAAATCCTTCGCCCGCTGCCCCCCTTGAAAACCCGCCAGTTAAATTTGCACGCATTTGCCCTCCAGGCCCCTAAACCTCCTTGCAACCCAGGAATGCAACCACTCCATCTTTTGGAGTGGGCCCAAAAAATGCGGGGAAGGGTGAGCCCCCGGACAATGGGCTACCTAATTACAGAATAAAGAAGTTGGAAGGGACCTTGGAGGTCTTCTAGTCCAACCCGCTGCTCCTGCAGGGGGCTGTCGCCATCTCGTCCAAGACATGTCACCGTGTGGGCACCAGGTTGGATCTCGGGGGGGGGGGGGGGGGGGG